CATATTGACGAATTTAAAAGATTGTATAGTAGAATTTAAAGGAACAATAGATGAGATAAGATATGTGATATTAATTAGTTTAGATTGTGAATATATTCGAAATCAATTAGAGAATAAAGTTATTAAGTTACGATTAATGTGGCAATTAGTTTAGGTAATAATAACAAACTGAATTCTGCGAATTAATATTGGCCAAATATGAGATTGTTTTTATTACAAATTTCCTTAAATCTCTTATCCATGATCCGAACAAATTAAAACCGGGTCAAAACCCGGATCCAAATGAATTAAAACAAAAAAGTATTGCTAAAATGTATATGTAGATACTTTGAATTTAAATTTTTTTATCAAATACAATTGAAATTATTATAATTTATTTCCAAATACATTAAAATGTAATAAATTTTATATCTACATAATTATAATGATAAGATTTTCCCTGAATTGATTGTTAAATCACAGAAATAAACGAAAATAATCGCATCAACTTTCATTTTCACTATGATCCTGAATGACTTACCTTTGTATCTTCTCGACGATATCCTCTTCAGATTGGAACCCAAATCTCTGGCAATTATGCGATGCACAAATAAATATTTCCAATCTTATATATCTCACGACTCGGACTTTTCCGTGGTCAGACCTAGTTTGTTTAACCTTTGCAGCTACGGTGACACTTCCGTCTTTTGCCACCGTTTGGTTTCTTCATGCGATTCTATGTCAGTCTTGAAATTAGAAAAATTGAATTTTAGTAACCGATGTTATATTTTTGGCTCATGCTCCGGCCTTCTCCTAATATACATCAATGGTCTCTTCGTTGCAAATCCCATCACAAAGACGTTTCGACTTTTGGATCATTCTGGTTCAAGCCTTCTGCCTTGGATAGTTGGTGGTGCAATGTTCGTTGGTTTCGCTGTAAACCGTACGACCAAAAGTTTTAAAATCGTATGCATTCTTGAGATGGAAACAGTGTATGGATTCGAGATCAACGACGGATATTGTTGGAGATTATCAGAAACAACCATCAACGCTAGTTCAAAAAGTGATCTCACGACGCGGATGAAACCTGTTTACTTAGACGGCACTCTTCACTGGTTGAGGAACGACGAGAGCATCATAGCTTTCAATCCCGAGACAGAGCAAGCACACTTGATTCCTTCCATATTCTATCGGGAATCGGATATGAAGTTATTATTCGCGGCGGACATAATATCAATCGTTTGACCTTATTATTGGGGACGAAAGAAACAATCTCAGTTTACGCACTACGCAAGAATTCCAAGTGGATCCTTGCTAGGCAGATCAAGAACGTATCTATGGAAGATAATATTCTTGAACGCTGGAACATGGTTGCATACGATGGCAAGCATCTTGTGGTGAGGGAGATGAAGGATAGATTAAGAGTTGTGGTTCCTTTTTACGACATGGTGGTTAACATTAAGGAACATCATTTCAAAGGTTTGGTTCATGTGTATGACATGGAAGCTAACAGTTGGAGAGTTTTGGGGTCAACATGGTGTCCAAGCCATTATGACAGAGACTTCTATAAGTTTATGCCATCCTTGTTCCCCGTTGAGGAGGATGAGCAGACAAAGGTTATTGTAGCTTCGGATGACCAACGCATCCGCTATCTAAGTGCGGTTATGAGACTCATTGATACAACCAAGTAAACTATCTCATGCTTTACTTTTTTTGGGTCATGTCCTGATCTATAGGAATGTTTGTTTCCAATTTGCTTTTCTAATTTCAACATCATGCTTTACGTAATTCAATTCTAAAATAAGTTCTAAGAAGCTCTTAGTCAATGATTATACATTACAATAGCGGAAGGACATAGAAAAAATAGTCCAACCTAACTCAAGAAACTTCGACTTCAAGAATCAAGAAACTCAGGGTTTATCATACAACGTCTCAAAACATTGATATCTGTTTACTAGATCAGTATAAAAAACATATATGGAACTTGAATGTAATGGAGATATAACTCATGTAGAAACTGGTGTTAAAAGGCAAATCAACCAAAAACTGAGAATGAAAATGGAAATATAGATAATATTCAAAGCGGAAAGAATGACAAGTTCCATAACTGAAGATTGCTCGAGTATCCAAATTCAGTGATCAAACCTCAAAACTAATCATATGTTTGTGTCGTATCACTGCTCTGGCCAAGTAGTCAGTTCAATGATCACGAAGACAGCTTGCTCTGCTCTCACTATCTGATTCCTTGAATCAGTCAAGGAAACATTCACAAATGCTTCAAAGTCCGATCATATCCTAAAAAAATATATTAATTGATATCGGCAGTTGTCCGGTCGTACCCAGACTTTGACATTAAAATAAAGTGTCATCATCTACTACAACAATGGTGGATATCAGTTTCTTCTCTCAGGCGTTTCATCAAACATAATTGGTGCATTTTCTAAAGATCCATGTTCCAATGCATTTCACTAATCTCATATAATAATAGAATCAATCATTCCTCTAGTAAACGACTAGTTGCTTCTATAAAATAAATCACACAACCAACAAAATCGTTTTCGTTTTACATATATTTGTAAAAGTAAACTACATCACATAGACCCAAATAAATCGAGCATCACTAATAAAACACACATAAGTCGAGCATGACTAAAACCGATTTAAAAACTCTCTTAACATATAAAATAAATCACACAACCAATAAAAATGGCCCTAGCTGCCACCTCATCTTTTTTTTTTTTTTTTCATCAAACACCATTTCTATTAAGATATCGGGAAGAGACTCTCCGCTAGGGAGAGCCAATCAGGAACCGACGTACTTACATGGGAAAAAAGGCTATTTCGAGCCCGAGCCTTTTTGGCTAAACAATCTGCTCGAGTATTTGAACTACGAGGAAGAAAACTAATGTTAAAAGAAGGAAAAAGACAAACTAGAGACCGAAAAGAGGCCAATTCAGCTGCAAAAGAGGGCCAAACGTCTTGATTGTCAAGGATAGAGATCAAGTCAGAGCAATCGGAAGCGAATGCGCCAGAGGTATCGCCTATCGAAATCATACACTCCATTGCCCAAATCAAGGTGTCAAATTCCGCGTGGAGCGGTGAGAGGCTTCTTCTCGAACTTTTGAGGCCAAGGTGAAGAATACAGTCTTGGTCAACTAAGACCCAACCATGTCCACTCAGGGTATCCTCCAAATGCCAAGAAGCATCAATCTGGCACACCGAAGAACGGGAGGGAGTAGAGCGGGATTGTAGCGAACGGGCAAGATGCTATGGATCAGCTACATCTTTTAAGGTTGCATTCTTCCAAACAGAAGCTTCTCGCAAGGCCAAGGCCAGAGTCTCCAAAGGTGGTTCTCTGAAGTTTTCGAATAAGAACCGATTACGACTTTTCCAGATATATTGCCACCTCATCATCTCCATCGTGTTTTGCTTAACGTCTTCATTTCAATTTTACTCCGATTAGTAAAAGTACTTTTTATAAATGGTTCCACATACACATGACTCCTCCTTATTCAATCAGCACTAGAGCCACTAGAATCGGACTACCAAAGCTAAGCTAAGACCAAAGAGTAGTTGGATTTGAGTTTTAAACTTGTGTGCTCCTATAAACCAATTCTTGTTATATGATAAAAGAATAAAAATGGCCTTTCTTTTCTGGGTCCAGTTTAGCAAGCCCACTCAAACTCTTAATTATTTTTGAGTAAAAAGAATAAATAGAATCTGTCGTTTACTGAAAAAATAAGTATTACCCCAAATAAAGGTCCAACTATAAGTAACTTAAAAAAACCGAGAGTAAATATCGAAGCTTGGGAAAAAAAAATCTCATGTAAAATATTGAAGCATAACCCAAATAAGGCCCAACTAAAATCGATTTGAAAACACCCTCCACATATAAAATCAATCACATAACCACAAAATCCCTAGCTATCACCTCATCATCTCCATTTCAGTTTGACTCCGATTAGTAAAAGTACTTTTTTATAAATGGTTCCACATACACATGACTCCTCCTTACTATTTTGGAATATAGTAACTCATTTTCCCATCTTTAATCAACCGCTAAGAGTCTCGAAATGAACAATCTCTTTAAACCGCAGGTCCGTACCGGACTAGTGAGCCAGATGAGTGATTTGGACAAATGTGTCCCGTGTGTCCTTTGAGTTATGACTAAAATGTTGGAATCTCAAGTCATGCGTTAGCATTGTGACATTTTGATCTTATAATGTTACCGAATAATAATGGCTATATATGCCTAAATAAATTAAAATAAAACACGCGACCAACAAACTGCCACCTCATCATCTTCATCTCCAACGTGTTTTGTTTAACGTCTTGGTTTCAATTTAGTCAGATTAGTAAAAGTATTTTCGAAGTGGTTCCACATACAAATGAATCATCCTTACTCAATCAGCACTAGGTAGAGCCAATAGAATCGGACTACCCCAAAGCTAAGCTAAGACCAAAGAGTAGTTGGATTTGAGTTTTAAACCTGTGTGCTACTAGTAAACCACTTGTTGTATTTTCTTAGTATAGTAAAAATAATTCTGAATGGTTCCCACATAGACAAGAGTTCTCCTTACTCAATCCGAAAAAAGCTATAGAACAAAAGTGGAACAATTGGAGAAGTGTTGAAACACTGTGTCTTCCATATTACTTAGTATAGCAAGTTTATGCTACTAGAAGCCACTTTTTCGTGGTTTTACATAACATACATGAATCTGTAAAAGTAAATAGCGACACATAGACACGGCTTCTGGTGGTTAGTGAATGGAAGAGAGAATATGTATGATGGTGACAGAAAACAGCAAAAGCTATATCCAAAAATGGATAAAGAAACTCTTAAGCGCGTTGTGATACTTACGTTGGAAGAAGTTGACAACAAAGGAAAAAGCAGAGCACAGTTGAATCATCTCTTGGCTATAAATAGAGAGAGAGGGTCACAACTCAAAATCACAACAAGCACAACAGAGAGCAAGAGATTCAAATAGCAAAAAACTTATAATATTCTTTCAAAAACAAAAATGGGGGATCGTAGCATTCAACTGGGCAGAGGGAAACAACAACCAACTCACGTTGCTGATGAACCGAGACAATTGGGAACACATGCAAGCTTAAAATATTCATTAAAAGTTTTTGGTGTCAATTTTGTGCATCAGACATTGATGTTGAATACTTTTTTTGATGCTTTTTTTCTTTATATCTATGAGTGATTAATAGGATCATAAGTGGGGCATCTTGGAATGGAAATGGCCAGATTTTGAGTGGTCGTTCCGCAGATAACAACGGAACGTGGTTTGGTATTTCTAGAGGAGGTCGAGTCGCTTTTCTCGTGAGTGTCGATACATTGTTAGACCACGTCGATCCACAAGCCGGCTCTGAGTTGTACCCAATTGAATTCTTGGAGGTTAGTTTTTTTGCATATTTTTTTGTTTTCATTTTAATTGAAACATCTTTGAATATCTTTATTTGATCAAGGGATTGCTTTGTTTGACTGCAGGGCAATATGACTCCCCAGGACTTTGCCAATGACGTGGCACAGGGTGAAGAAGTGGACGAATTATTGTCGTTTAGCCTTATAGTTGCAGACATGACTTTGAATTCAATGGTTCATATAAGGAAACCCGTGCAAGCTGAGTGGAATGTCATGATACAACCCGTTCCGTTTGGTGTGCATACACTTTCTCCTTACGAGGGTCTCGATGCCATAGAACCTTGGGTAATTATTAAGTACAAGTGTCTTGTGAGTCGAATTGTTAGGATAGTTCATTTTTGCAAATCTTTTTTTAGTCTCTTCTTCTTATTTCTAAAATCAAACACGCTGTCTTTTTGTTTTTGGTGGTATTATGCAGGATTTACTCGTGTTTGACGTTTTTAATCAGATGACTGCTGAATTGGGAAACAACCCACTACCACCCCTTAAGGAGATTGCTGGGATTATGTACGATGATGCGGAAGAAGAAGACGCGGTGTTTCTCCAATTGGCTGCGCATCCACAAGTAAGAAATTTAATCGGACATTTTTTATGACCCACCCTCGTACCATTTTCTTCAATTAGTTAATCACTTTTTTTCAATTCGATTCAGTTTGGAATGCAACTCTTTGGAACAACAAGTACGACAGCATTGGCGGTGGAACGCACTGGGAGAGTAAGGCTCTTTGAGAGGTACAGACTCGATGGTGGATGGCACACACACGACTTCGATTTCCAAATCCAACACTAGAATGAGTTACAAAGAAACTTTGGGAAAGCATCCGAATATCATTACATATCTCTCATTATTAAATAAATAATCTCGTTGATGCTGTAAATAGATCTCTCTCTCTCTAATTTAATTTATTTTACCTTGTTAAGATTCAGGGATACCTATTTCCTTGGTCAAACTGCATATATCTCTATTCGTCTATGAACATTATGCTTGATATACATAAATAAAATAGTTGATTTTCTTAGACTTTATCCTATGCCAACTTAAAAGTTCTCTTTATATTTTGGTTCCATCGATATGCAATTCTTAAGCAATTTATCTATCTATAGTTTCTCTTTAAATTAACTTTACATTTAACTCGATTCGGGTGATTGACTCCAAGCCATAGTTTGCAGAATGGATGCAGACACTTGGGGTAGGTTATAGTATTTTTGGAAACCATCATCCAGCAATTTCAAGCAACTATTCATATGAAACTGTTTGTTTTGAAACTCTGAAGTTTTATCGGCTGATAAAAAGATTACTATTTTCCAAAATGATTACTTTCATAAATTATCATAATTAGTATCTCACAAATCACCAAAGTTATAAACCAATTGGAATATTAGTATGGAGCCACTAAGAACCCCTATGGTACCCTTTTTAGATTTTGCCATTTTAATATGAAAGTGATCAAGTTTTGCGTATGAATGCAAATCTTCAACGTGTGTCACAAGAATTCTCTTTTTTCTCTCTTATTTGTTAAGTCTTAAATGATTCCACATGTACATAGTGTCTATTTGATAAAACAGGTCACCTATAACAACTAGGCTTGGATTACCAAAGCTAATTAAGACGAAATACCAGTTGGATTTGAGTCTTAATTAAACTTGTGTGCCAATAGAAACCACTTTTGTATATTTTTAGAATAGTATAAATATTTCTAAACTGTTTTGACATGACTCCTCCTTAATCAGTAAAACACGGCCAATCCAGAAATGCAAACCACATGGCAAATTCATTGTTATTTGTTTAGTTAACTTTTGAAATAATTAATACAGTATTTATTACCAATCGATATATTTTTTAAAATACTAATAATTTGTTTAAAAACAAAACTAATAAATTATGACAAAAAATGAATTTTAACGGAAATTAAACAAGGAAGAACATCGGGCTTTTACTTAGTAATAATTCATGAGTCGCCCATTTTCACATCAGTCACATCTAGTTGTATTATCTCCGCTCTGCACCCTAAAATTGATCCCATGCTGCAACCGAAACGAAATAAACTCTCTTTTATTAATATGCTATTTCACAGATCCGGTATATATATATATATGCTTAAACTTGTTTCCATTCTTCTAAACACTAACTGCAATTTTTTGCCTATAGTTAAAATCTAAAATATTGAAGGGAGCTCCTTTTATTATACCTGGGAGTGGTACGACCAAGATCTCCATGAACAAATTCTTTGATGTATGTTCCAGCCTGCATTATTGAAAAGTTAAAACTTGCCCATCTTTCAATATTATGATAAATGATAATGAGGTGAGTTATAGAAGATGTAGCAACCTGGGTGCACAGATGCAATAGAAAGTAGTGAGCGTGTCCTTTTATCTTTTCAATTTTCATCCTGAGTATTGGAACCACAAACACTGACTATTATTACTAAACAGAAGAAGCTTCAAGGTAAGTAAAATCTGAAACTCACGATAGATTTTCACTAACCAATGTATAATCTTTTCACGATCCAATGGACTTCGTCGGTGAAGCACTCTTACTGGTGTCTTCTGCAAGATTTTCTGCAGTGAAATTATATAGGAGAAGAAAGTCGCTTTCTATTAGGAACAAAGAACAGGGTTTGAGGATCGACAATGGATTTGTACCTATGCTTAACAATCATTAAAGAAATGACTCACCAATTCTTTCAGGGAAGAAACTGAGTTGAAGTCTTTCTCTTCAAGTGGACGAGAAATCCATACAAGTGCAACATACTGCTTCTGCAGTACGTAAAAAAAACATTGGAGTGGTTAGTTTGATAAGTTTTCACTACATTTCTAACTGAAGTATTGGTTTAGTAAAGGTTTCAGTATTTCAATATGATTTAACAATGCTGACCTGCTTCTCTGCTTCTCCTTCACGCATCATTGCCCAACACTGACTTCCGATACATTTAAGGTCTTTTACTCCGACCTGTAGCCAAAATACTACTTGTAAGCTTGCAAAAAAGGCACACATAATCAATTGATATAACATATGTGTTCAATTAATTAGGTCTTACTAGTTTTTTCTCTGAGTTGTTTATCTTTTCTTCAACTTCCTTCAATGATTGTTCAGACGGGCACTGGCGAGAATTCTGAACCTCGATCAAGAAAGGTCTACCTGAACCCAACATTCGTACCTGAATAGAGGTCTTTTATATTATCAGCATAAACTTGTTGAATATGAATATGACGTCCGAAATAGGTAATTTTCTCACATCAATATCTTCTCTGCCAGCTGCGTGGAACTTGTACGAATCCCCAAGGCATGCTGGAAGAATGTTTCCGCCAAGTATCTCCTGAAAAGTATATAAATATCTATTGAAGTCACTGTATCTTTAGGAATAAATAATTTAAACAAGTCCAGATGACCACTAAGAGACTATTACCTCAACAGACGCTTCGCCCATTCTTTCATCATCAATAATCCATCGTGATTGACTAACATTTCTGGAGTACTGCAAAAATAAGATCGAACCATCAATTGAGATAGATACTCAATAAGAGGTTAAAAATCTGCTCGATCATCTGTGAATCCAATTGTTACCAAACTACAATTTACACACAAATGAGGTTACAATACACTGCCTCAAGAACATGTAAAACAGTGACTTACTTTAAAGTATCTCCCACTAAAAAAGATAGGCATCCTGTTGCAATGAACTGAAAAGATGCATGGTTCATACACCTGGTTATATAAGAAAAATGACGAGAACATGAGCTTTTGTTAGTCAAATAATGACAATCAGGACAAAAGAAAGTTCAACTCTAATATAAATCTATGGGTTAAACATGCAAACAAATACCTTTTCAAATGAATTCTCGGAAATACAGTTTGATCCATTCTCTGCGTCTGCATATACATAAAATATAATTAATAAATAGCATTTGAAAACTCTGAAATTTGATCCGCGGGATCTAATGTATTATCTCAATAAAATGTGTAAGAAATTGATGTAGATGGGCACAAGATCCGGAAAGTGTATAAACTGTCATTAGGAGGGCATAGACCATGCATGGCTAGACAAGGACCAAAACTAAGAATATATTCACTTTAAAAGAAGTATGACATCTATGCAAGACGTTGAAGTAGCGTAGATAAAGAGGTCGGCTTAATTGGATGTTTACTCCTTAAGCTTTCAAAGAAAACTCAAAGAGCCTTCAGATGTAACCATGGAAGAATAACGTACATGAAGGTCAAATTTTCTTTCATCAACAAACTCCTTAAACATCACAAGTATCGGTGATATTTCAAGCAATTATAGATGCACCATGTCATAAATGATTTATGAATCAGGAGTTCAGGAAAAAGATTCAACCGAGTCCTAAGTGATTGTAGAGTCTCGACATACCTGTTTTCCTCCTCTTACTTTCATGCGTTGTTTCAGAAGCACCCTGAGCCTCGTCTGATGCTTTAGTGTATGTCAAACGGATGTGAAAAGAGCTTGAATCTGATTCAGCGCCCTGCCAAAACAGAGAAGAAACGCAAAGACTTTTGTTATCTGGAAACAGATTTTGCAGGTTATAACATCCATTTGTATAAGATACTAAGCAATAGAAGCAAAGGTGAAAACCTAAGCAACAACTCAACAATTTTCCAAAACAGAAACACTTTCAAGCAAATCACCGACTCACCAACGATGCTTTAAGTTGATCCAAGAGTAGAACTTTCAAAGCATCCTTTACAGAAAATTTGTCGCGTTGCAGCCAAACTTCGGTGCTATACTTTCCTTTAAGGTATGACCTATAAATATAAAGGTAGATACATCAACACTAGAGCAGAACCAAAACAAAACTGATAAAAAGGAAAAACTCTTTAGCTGATGCAAGCGAAGAAGCTTACAAGAGTGCACGTTCATTCTCCATGATAGTTGATGGCACAGAGACTTCAAGACCAAAGCTATCGAACTCATGACGATCCTGCTTCACCAAGTCCGTTATCCTTGAAACGTAATCACTACTAGAATCCGATTTCACCAGCTCTTTTTTGGCATCGGAAAAAACGAACTGCAATATACCTAAACAAACAATGCAGATTCTGGAACAGCTAGATTCCGATGAACCAGTTTCACCATCACCGGATTTGAGCCAACTGTGAAGAGTTGAAGTCGAGACTGAAGAAATATCGGAATCAAAAGCCTCGACGGCTACCAATCGGAAAATACATCTCTCGCAGACCTAACAGAGCACACAGACACACCGACTTACTAAAAATCGGGGAAAACAAATTCAAAAAGAGATTGAAACGGAATCGGAGAAGTTGTGAGAAATAGAAACCCTAAAAACTAGTGAGAGCAAGAGAAAAGAATACGGACCCCGAGAGATAGAAGATCTTTCACAGCACCGGAATGCAGAGATCGAGCTGTTTCGTATACGCGCCGTGTCTTAGAGTCACCATGGCTTACGAGGCCGTTGGGCAAACCAGCTGAGTCGCCGGAGGCGGGTCCTGTGTCGGCGGACATTTGCTTCGGAAATTTGGAGAAGGCGGCGTCTAACAATTAGCAGTGAGCTTATTCAGTTTTTTTTACAAAACCAATTTGAACTGTGTTTATTTTATATTATATTCATTTATATAAAATTTGGACCTTAACTTATGGAAAATTTTGCCGAATGTACCATAATTTTAGAAAATTCTAGCAAATCTACCGCAAATCGATTTAGCATCCATACCATTTGTGGTGTTTGTGTGGTAGAGGTTCGATGATTTTACCTTTCTGCCTGCTTCAGGAATGTGTCAGGGGAAAGAGCTACAGTAAAAAGTTGATATGGGTTAGTTTTATTATTTGGAGACTATGATTAGTTTTATTTAAAATAGTAAAAAGTTAGGAGACAATCATTATTTAATTAAATGGTGACAATGATTATTAGACACTAAAATATAATGTAAAGTATTAATTAGTAGGTCAAGGCAAGTAATTAATTAATAAAAATGTTTAAGGAGATGATATGAGTTAAACTCGGAGACAACTGGATCTCTTGATTTTCCATCTCCAGATGATGTGA